CTTGAGTATGTGCTCTTTGTTGATTTAAGAAAGTGCTGATCTCTCTCTCTCTCTCAGTTCAATTCACCTCACAGGGTTGACATTGCAGGGAAAATAGGAGGAAGAAAGTGTTTTGGATATATTCACTGCCTCGAGTTATTTGTAAAAGTAATAAAGCTGGGACACAAATATAATAAAAAAACTCTGAGAAGTCAAAAATAGAATTGAATGGGCTTATTCATAGATATATGTAAAAGTGACATGGAAAAGGTGCTAACTGAATCATTGGGCTATATGTATCATCAAAAGCAAATTTCATTTGAATTACAGCCTCGGTCCAAGAGCCCGACAAAAGCTGGTCTGTAAGTACTACAGTGCTCCTCACCCCCCCCCCCCCCAGCAGAACAGTGATAGAGTTTGTCCATTAAAAAAGGTTCTCAGAAGCTTTTGCACAAAATAAGGGCGGTACATTGAGGTGGCAAATGAATGAAAAACATCAAAACCAAGCCAAGGTTTGCATGCATTTCCCTTTGCTATAAAGCTCTGCATCAAATGTAGTCCATGCACTTCACAGGACCATCATAAATTTTCAGGTAAGGTTGCAGATAGCATGTGGGATTGGTTGGAGATCTACTGTGGCAGCATATCTCCTTCTTCTTCAGTGTCTGATTCCAGAACCAATCCTATTATATGTCTGTGACATGGGGACTGAACTTGTCAACTCCCTATGGTGACACGGGTCTTGAGTTTTTTTTTTTTAATGTGTTATACCACCACGACAGTAGCAGAAATGTAAGGGAAAAATAAAGACAATTAAAAGGAAAACAATGATTTCAGAAAATACAGTTTAGTGTTAAGCAACTTGGTCTTGTGCTTTAACAGGGGGGCAGAAACTAGAACACCACAAAGCAGGAAGTAGCAATTTATATTGATTAGTTGGGATTTTATTTATAGGAAAATTGCTTGCTTACAAGAGTGCAGCTGGTGTGGTGACTTAAGTTGATCTAGGCCAGGGCTGTCAAACTCCCAGCACATGGGCTAGACGTGACACGTGATGGCCATGCCCACACCTGGTTTAAGCAAAGGGGAAAAAAAGTCCCAAAGCCACCATGATGACATGAGTTTGACACCCCTGATCTAGGCCAACATGAGGAAATTAGGACTGTTTTGTCATTTTTAAGATAATCAATTGTCACTAACTGTACTGTTGTAAACAAAACCCTGACTTTTAATAACATATTAAGATGAGTTGTTCACATAGTAAATCTTTATTTATTTGAGAGAAACACTTCTGTTAATTAAATTTCCTCAAATAAAAATCTTATGAACATACTTTAGTATTTTAATTAATTAACTTATTGATTGATTGACAGCATCAACAGCTAATTGGTTGTCGACTTTAATAGGAATTAATGTTTGCCAATGGCTAACTATAAGCATCAACTGTGACTAGTAAAAACACTACTCTTAGTTACAGAATGAAAAGTTGAATAACTCATCTGCCATGAAGAATTCTGTTAATGGAGGTTGGATTTTTATTTAACAGGATTATTCAATGATTAAATAAGCAAAAAAAAAAACTTTGCAAAAGTGGCTAGGTCAATGAAGATAGGGCTTTTCTTAAACTGCACTTTTTACATGCTTGTAAAAAGAGGTGGGATTTTGTTACCTGATTATATCTACCATTTTGGAATCAGTCATGATCCACAAGGGCAGCCCTGATGCTTTGGGACTGGGAGAACAGTAAGAATTCTAGATGGGTAATCAGGTGTAAAGAACAAATCATGTCTTCTGAGCTACTTTGAAAGTTCTAAATGTAAAGAGAGGAAGCTGGAAGAAGTGGGCTCACTCTTTTGTTTTATAATTTGTTTTATTTTATTTATATTAAATTATTACCATGGTAATAGTGCAATATTTTATCTATTGTATAATTTACAAGATACCCTTCCCTTTATACCATCATGCAAGACACCTTACAACAATCAAAACAAAAGCAACACCTTATGAAAATATAACTCACCCACATTAATGACTGATTTTAATTGTATGGATTGTGTTCTGTTTTAATATGGCACATTTTAAATAGTATAATTAAATCAACCTTGGGTGATGAGATAAACAGAAAGGCATGATATACATTATTAAATAGATAAACAATTAGAAGCTTGACAAAAAGAGATGACTATAAATACTTTTATCATGGTCACTGATGAGAATTGTAAACAAAACACATTAAAAATAAAAATAAAGTAAAAACAAAACAAGACACTTGGTGGATTTGTTAGTGGATAATAAAAGTCTGCTTAATTTTTCAGGCAGTATAACAAAATTCAACTACTGATGCAAGAAGACTGAATCTGACAATAACTTCTGTACTTAAAAACAACCAGAATTTCCCAAATGTTTTACTACATAAGTAGTCATAACACAGATCTCTGAGTCTTTAAAAGAGGATATGATACCACAGGACATGTGGTAATTTCAACTGCCCCTTGTCACAGCCTTAGTTCATAATAGACTTGTTTCAGCCCTCCAAAACTGCTGTGGGAAGATTATTGAAATATGCTAAAATTAGTGTTTTGCTTGACTAGTGTCAATTAGTCCAGTATGAAATCACATACAGAGGAATTTATTCAAATTACTATTTATTAGCAAGATTTATTCTCCCAACTCAAAAAGGAAATTAATTGCAACATATCAATTATGATGGGGGCCTTGGTGCTCTCTGAGCTTGGTAATTTTCTTGCAGACATCTGATAATGTTACCTAGTTTGGTAATGAAGTATCTGTAAAAGAACCATCAAGCTTAGAGCCCCAAGAACCTCACAGTTCAACCCTAACTACAAATATTCTCTTCTATCAATACATATCAGTTATATATAAATAAAAAATGGCTGGAGCTTTCAACATCTGATCTCACCTACTATTTTAGGTGCCACCAGCTTAAAAATTCTTAATATAGATTGAAAGCAGGTAATGGGTCTCTTATGTTCCATGGTTTTACAAATGTGAAATCTATAGCTTAATAATTTCCAAAAGCCTCCAAAAATGTCTGAAATTGACAGTAGTGTTTTGAAAAATAAGCAATGTGTGCCCTTGGAAATGTCCCACTTTGTTGTTAATCTGATATGTATTTTATTTACTATAATATATAGGACCGCTTGAAAGAAAGGGAGGGAGGGGAAATCAGCCAGAAGTCTCCATCATAACAAATTCCAGGTGAGCATGCCCAGACCTCAATATTCCTCAAGGTGAAGCAATGACATAAAAATTATGACCTCCCTTATATTTTATTTGTTTTCCCCACACTAAAATATTGCTGCAGCCTGAGGCATTAGTGAGAGCAAACCTCCATTATCGCTCCAGAGAGCTGGCACTTTGCTCATTAGGCTTCTAAGGTTCTGACAGAGTGACCTTGTTTAGTGGAAAGACACAGATGGAGTCTGTCAGTAAATCTTGTTAATGTAACAAGTATTTCCATCCTTAGATGAGCATTGCACCTGATACAAGCATTTCTTTCCCAAGTAAACAAATTCTCCTTCTTCCCTATAGACAGATTCCCTCCCAGGCCTGGCAACCTAAACACTTCATGTCATGCTATTTATTTGTTGTCACAAAATGCATCTTGTTCTCTGTGTGTAGGCCACTTAGTCTCTTAAAAGAAAGCTGGTGGTTGACTTTAAGCGCACAGAAATTGGCTTTAAAAAAAGAACTGCTCTCAGTCAACACAACAATTTTATTTCACTTTATTCTTGTTTCATGGACTTTAGCTCCACCCTGCAAAACATGATGGTCCTATGAGGGGTCATTGGTGCTCTCTGGTTTTCTTACATTATCCAAACTAGGTAACATCATCAGTGCTAATGACTAATGACATGTCTGCAAATAAACCACTAAGCTCAGAGAGCACCAAGGACCCCTCATTTCAACCCCGAGTTACAAATATTTTCCTTTAATGAGGTCCTATTTTCATTCTTGTATACATTTACATTATTTTACCTAAGGATTTTTGCAAGGGTCTCATGATTGTGATAATTAAAATATTATGATATGATTATGTTATCTCCATCTAGCAGTTGGCCAGTCTTTTGGGCAGGAAAATCTGAGTAATAGTATGTATAAATAAAGGTAATAAGCAAGGAAGCAAAATCTGCATGAGGCCAGGGGTAAACTCATCCATCATGATGGGATATCCTAAGTATTCTAATGCATCTCAGTTGTGGCTAATAAAGGTCTGGATGGGGAACAACAGACTTCAGCTGAAACCTGACAAGGCTGAGTGGGTTTGGGTTTGGGGATCCCATGCTTCTAGGACTTTGCTATCATTGGTGCTGGATGGGGTTGAACTGGGGGTCCCTTTGGACACACAACTCCTGCAAAGAGCAGGTGGCACTTGTTGCTAGAAGGGCCTTTGAATCACTTCCTGTGGTGCACCAGTTGTGCCTGCTCCAAGAGTGGGAGACACTGCTCATCATCACTTGCACTCTAGTCACCCACTCTTATAATGCACACTACATGTAGTATCCAGAAGCTTCAGGCAATGCAGAATGCAGTGGTACTGTCAGTTAAGTGTGCTTCAATGGTGGTATTCAGCTGGTTCACACTGGTTCAAGAGAACCGTAGCAACAATTTGGCTGGGTCACCAAACCAGTAATGACTTCTGGCTGGCCATGCCCCCGACCTGGTCGCCTGGTTGCCGCTCACTCACCCCTTCCAGCTGCTTGATGTTTGCTCACCTTTTCTGGCTGCTCAATGCTCGCCCCGCCCACCACCCTATATATGTTGCTGCACCATATGGTCCAGCTAATCACCTCACTAGTTGCTTTGCTGATGCCCAGTCAGCTCAGCTCACCAAAGCTAAGCAATGCATGCCACCCGCTGGTTGGGGGCTGGGGCCCCAAGGCCCTGGAGCCACCAGCTGGGTGGGAGAATGTTTGATTCCCTGGCTCTGGCCTTGCCCCAGAGCTGCCACTCACTCTCCCTTAAGCCTGATGCGTTGCTCATTTTCCCCTCCTTCAGAGGCCCTGGCCCTTAATCTCCTCACTTCCTCCCCTACGACTGCCTCTTGCATCATCTGTGGCCATTCCTCTCACAGCTGGCTGCCAGGGAAGGCAAGCCAGGGCTGAGAGCCACTGGGCTCCCCACCAGCCTGCATCTTGTTCCCCTTGTCGTGAGATGCTTGCAGCCGCTGCCTCTATTTTTTGGTGTGAGAAGCCTCCCAGATGATGCCTCTTTGCCAGCTGGAACTGAGTCAGCTGGCTGGAGGCTTCTTGCACTGAAAACGACCAGCCTCCACTTTTCGAACATGCCCCAAAAGAGCTTCATTGCCACCCTGTTCTTCGCACTGGCCATGCACATGCACCCTATTGCCTGCTGTGCCAGAGGGACTTGCCTGGGCAAGTATCTCCACTCTAGCAAGTCCCGGCTGCTGCTTTTTTGCCAGCCGGAACTGAGCCGGTAGCCCATGTGCCATCTCCCTGTGCACATGTGAGGCCAGGACCTTCTGCGAGCAGACAGCATGTGGGTGAGTTCCTGTGGCACTGTGAGATGCATTGCACATGCTCTGTGTAAGCCTAAGAAGGAGGAGAAGACTTGGGTGAACTTTTCTGCCTCCCTTCACTTTGCTCTGGTGCAGCTCAGAAGGCAGCCACCCCAGCCTGTCTGTTTTAGGTACTTCGATGTGGAGGGAGGGACCAAAAAGGGACAGGCAGGGTGCAGGAGCTGCCTTCTGACTCCTGGCCAAGTCTCACCATGTCACCGTCCCCCTGCCAAGAAGTATCTAGCTGCCCCTCTTTGCTGGCAGGAGAATCCTCCAGCCGCCGCTCCCAGCTCAGTTCTGGCCAACAATGAAGTGGCAAAAAGATGCAGCTGTAGGCTTCTTGCAGCAAAAATTACCAACTTCCAGTTTTGCTCCATTTCTCCAACACGCCTCCACAGCCGCATTCTAGGTGCCAGCCATGTAGGTCAACCGCATTGAGCCTGCTGCACCGGAGGGACTTACCCAAGCAAGTCCAAGAGGAACGGTGCATCAGACAATGGGGTGAGCCTGCATGGCCAACACCTAGAACGCAGCAGTGGTGGGTGCATTGGAGAAGCAGAGCAAAGCTGGAAGTTGGCGGCTGTAGGCTTCTTGCAGCAAAAATTACCGACCTCTGACTTGCTTGGGCAAGTCCCTCCAGTGCAGCGGGCTCAATGGGGTGGACCTGCATGGCTGGTGCCTAGAATGCCGCCACAGCGGCGTGTTGGAGAAGCGGAGCAAAGCTGGAGGTTGGTAATTTTCGGTGCAAGAAACCTACAGCTGTCGCATCTTTTTTTTTTTTTTGTATGGCTGGAGGCATCTCGTGACAAGGGTGAGATGTGGCCTGGTAGGGAGACCAGTGACAAATATGGCTCAGCCCTGTCTTGCCTTCCTTGTAAAGTCATGGCCATGGGACAATGAAAGTGGCAGTCATGGGGGAGAAAATGAGGAGATTAAGGGCTGAGGCCTCTGAAAGAAGGAAAACAGGTGATGGGAGAGTGGGTGACAGGCAGGATTAGGCCAGGCCTTTTACAAATTAGACCAGGCCTGCCTGGGCAGAAAATAGATAGACAGGTAGAAATTCATTTTTTTCCCCCTACTAGGTTTCTGGTATGCCTTCCAGTCCTAGCAAAGCTCTGTGAGACAAATGAGCATGCCTGAGGCAGCAGCAAAGAAATGGAGCCTGAAATTCAAGTTGTCCATGTTTCATAAAAAAAAATTCTCCTCAAGTTATTTTGTGTTGCCATTTATATTGCTGACCTACTCACCTCTCTCTCTCTCTCTCTCTCTCACACACACACACACACACACACACACACACACACACGCGCACATACACAACTACCTTCTGAATTCACTTTAATCCACTTGTTCTACTTTTGTTATTTTTACAGTGCTTCATCTGCCCTGGGATTTTTGAAAATGTCTTGAAGACAAGATAACCCTTTCAGTTCTAACTTCCATCCTTCATGCTAAATGTCATTGGAGCTGAATTATTTGAGGGTCTGCACCTCCATAATTAACTCCTATCTCATTAGGTCCAAGAGGAGAGGCTTTAAAGAGATGATTTTGTCACCAAGTTTGAGGATCTTGCTCGCAATGGTTACTAATTATTTTTGTGAATGTTTTACTGTTACATGTTTCATATTGTTAGCCAGAATCATGAAGCCAAGATGGTCCATCATATAAATTGAAATGATATAAATATAGATGATAGATAGATGGATGGATAGATAGATAGATAGATAGATAGATAGATAGATAGATAGATAGATAGATAGATAGATAGATAGATAGATAGACAGACAGATGGATAATCACTAAGGATAAAGGTATAGGCAGCTTGTTAAATGTTTACAGCTATATCTTCCAGTTTGTTGTCATAGTCCATAGGCCAGTTCAGCTGCGTCTGATGAGCACTTTAGCACAATTCAGTGGCAACATAAGGCATCTTAAGAGTCAGTTTGGTGTAGTGGTTAATCAACAGACTAGAAACTGGGGGACCATGAGTTCTAATATTACTTTAGGCAAGAACTAGAAGCCAATTAAGTCACTGTGGGCCAGTCACTCTGCCTCTTCTCTCTGGGAAGTACTCAAGGATAGTCTACTTCTTGCCAGGAAAACTGCAGGGACTACCTGTATTCCAGGAAGACAGCTGGAGTCAACACACATATACACAAATACGGCATGTTTCATTTTTTTGTTTTTGTGGGGTGGGGGATGGTTTGTTCCAGGTACAGCTGAGCAGCAGTTCTTTGAGTCTACTTTTTTTCAGTGTTGTAGTGATCCCACTTCACAAAATATACAAGACAGGATTCCTTACTGAATAAAGTTTCTCAAAAGGAAGATGTTGTGTATCACTTATCTCTTGAACATTAGCCATGTACTGTATTTGAACAGAATATTTCTAAGTTATTATGAAGACAGGACTATGATTTACTGATTCATACAAAAATGCCACACAAATTGCATCCACTTTATTCTTGCTTGCTTGCTTACATATTTTACTAAAGCAAAAGGTAACCTACACACACACACACACACACACACACACACACACACAACTGGCCATACTTCTGAAGTTTGATCTACATCAATCCTTTTACTCTCGTATGCAACACAATTGTGGAATATGGTGCTGCTGATTAAAAGCAATTCCTAATCAAGAGGGAAAATGCTGACTAGTTTATTCTAATCAATTTGTAAATATGATTCTGTGATGAATTTCAGCAGCCCAAATTTTTCTCTGATTGGGTAACTTCTGAGCCACTATCAGCATTCTCAGCAAAGTCACTTTCAGAACAAAGAAAACACTTTAGCATATGAAGTTACTTGGTTGGTTAAGTGTATGCAGCTATAAGTTATATAATTAATAGTTTAAGTCTAGAACAATAATTATATTCCTAGAGTAGATCCCCAAATATGTCATTATTTGTTTATTTATTCATGTTCTTCTCATCCCCCTTCCCAATTCATATCATCATTCACACTGTGCTGTGAAGTAGTTTAGTTGGATAGTTCTAGGTCAACCATTGAAATTAATGGCTCAGTGGAAATTTAATTTGGGCTATCCTAATGCATAGGGTGAACTGATATTTAAAGGAAGGTCTTCATAATGCAACAAAGATATTACACTTAAAAATGAGAAGGTTTAAATACTGTGGGATTTTAGAATACAAACTGATGAAGTCTTGGTTCATAACCCACCAGATATAACAGTGGTTAAAAAAAAGTGTTAATAATTGATGTGGCAATACTAGGTGATGGTAGAATAGCAGACAAAGAACCAAAGATCACAAAATATCTGAAAATAAAAATTCAAATATTATGGCATAAACCAGCCATGGTGGTCCCAGTGATTATTGACACATTGGATGCCATTTCAAAAATTCATGGATAGCACTTAGAAAATATGCACATTGACAATTCCCATCTGTCAATTGTAAAAGACCACATCATTTGGATCTGCACATATGCTATGCTAATACATTATGACATTCTAGGTTCTTGGGAAAAACTTGATGTGTATGAAAGCCAACAACTTAAACAATTAGCAGCTGTGATTCCACATTATTGTGTATTTTTTTTGTCTTTTAATGAATCCTTAATCCCTTGCATCGGAGTGGAGTTGGGGCAACTGAATGGAGCTTAGTGTTTACTGCCCAGATGCCCTTCCTGTTGCCAATGCAAAGTTCACAGCTGATATTTACCCATTGTGTCCAAAGAGAAAAATACCTGCCACTACCTAGGATCCAACTCACAGCCTCCTGATTGTGAGGTGAGAGCTCCACCTCTAGGCCACTGCACCACTCATTCCACATTATTGTGTATATAATGTGTAAATAAAAAGATCTGCAAATAGAAATAGAATGGATGTGACCAAATAAAGCCAAGATACACCAATAGTAAAAGGTGCCTTGGCTGAACTGGAGCACCACCTGGACACCATTGTCATTAACAAATCAGTGTCATTCAACTGCTTGGAATAGCTTACATCTTATGATGATACCAAAAGAATATCAAAACAACACCTGCCTATTCCAGATCCTTGAGAAAGAATAAATCGATGGCCAAAACTTCCAAGCCCAGTCCCAACATCTGGCCAGCTGTGCAATGAACCATAACAATATTGTTTAGTTGGTGGAACCTTGAACTCTGTCTGATTGCATGGAAGAGACAGAAACTATTGGAGACCATCAGATTTTGAGGGGAAAGTCTTGGATTTTTAAAACATTAACTGTGTGAAAGATTTACCATCGCTAGAACATGTAACAGAAATTGTGTAAGTAATAAAGTATGATGGCTTAATGTAACTGGGAAATATCTATCTATCCCTAGCTTCATTTAAGCAGTATTTTTGACAAAATGCCATTATATCACTTTTTATAGCTTTGAACTAAGGGGAAAAAAACACATCCAATATTTTAACATCGATTTTTTTTCAATTTTGGCACACATGTTTTTAAATATGAAGTATATGAGATATTGGCATGTGTATGTCCTATTATTATTGTAAGGGCTTACTAAGGCATTTTTACAAGGACATGACATCCACCCAAGCACA